GCCTGATTGTCCCAAAAATATGAACAGTTTTGAATTAGAATTCACTAATTTTTTATATAGTTTGTGACTTTATCATTTCACTCCTTACTTTTTGTGAGTCTTCCTTTTCTTACCTTTTTAAAATCCACGCTAATAAACTCATTATGCATGTTACATTATGGACGACGATACGTCAGTGTCTCAGTGATAACTGATAAACCTTTTAGGTTAGTTTCAATGAATATGTGTTCATAGATAAATGAAATTTGACTAATAATTCAAACAATAATAAAAATGTATTATCTGATCTTTGTAGCTTTGGATTGATAATTTGGGATCACTCGCGCAGTAATACTCCATAGTAATTACTCTGCATGGAAAAATTAAGGACTTTTAAATATTATTGAATTTAAAAAACATGAACAAATTAAAAACTAATTATCCTCTTACAAATATTAATGAGATAGGATAAATTTAACGGGGATGGAACTATGGAAGTGTAAGACAATCCACCACGGGAGTAACAAATTCGTAAGAACTCAAGTCTATGATATGGTAAGGTAGCTAAATGCAAGTCGGCAGTGATTTTACGTCATGTTTGGTATGACGTAATCAACCATGTAATGTAATGAGCATTACATGTTGATTTAATATCATGTTTGGTTATTCATTACATGTAAGAACTCAAGTCTATGTTTGGTATGTCATTTTATTTTAAACCGTAATGTAATGGTCATTGCACTTGTGGAACTCATTACTTTGATATGTGTAATAAGCATTACATTAAACAATATGTGTATTTGAGATTACAACTTATACCACGTATGGGTATATTGGCCCGGGTTTGTACCGGGACCGGGCCGGGAACAATTTTTTTTTAATTTGTCCCAACACACACACACCGCACACACACACACGCTGCACACGTACACACATGCACTTCACACACACACTCTGCACAAACACACACACTGCGCGCGCGCACACACACTGCGCGCGCACACTACACACACACAAATAAAGAAACATAATTATGTAATGTTGATTACAATTCAAAGTTGTTATTTAAGTAACCAAACAGTAATGGAATAGACACTTCATTCCATTACATTGCATTTTGTATTGCACTGTATTAGATCATACCAAACATAGCCATAGCTAGTGATTATATGCCGGACGTCAACTCTGTCGATCATGATCACCTATTCAGCTTGATCATATACTTCCTCCGTTCCCTTTTGCACATCTACACTTTATGAGGTATAATGAAAGCCATTATGTAATTACACATCTACACTTTTGCACATTCATTTATGTACACAAATAATTGGAGATAATTACTATTTTTCACTAAACAAATTATCTATGTACATACTCCCTCCGATTCAAAAACAAGTTCCACCTTTCCTTTTCGGGCAGTTCCAAAATTAAGTTCCACTTTCAAACCTTTCCTTATTTGGCAAATTATATACATCAAAACAGTTCCAAACAGTGTCAAAAAGTGTCAAACAGTGTCCAAACAGTGTCAAACAGTGCACTGCACAGTAAAGTCAAATTTCTTTTCTTAATATGTGTGAAGTCAAATGTGGAACTTGTTTTTGAATTAGAGAGTATGAAATTAGAGATTTGTATACAAAAATGTACACTTTTTTGTGTACGGATAGAGATAAAGCTAATGTACATACGAAGTACTTAGGATGTTTTCTTTTGGACTGAAATTTGCTGGTCTGGTCTGTTTAAATCTGGTTTGGTCTGGTCTGAACTGGTCTGGTCTGGTCTGGTAAACGTCTGGTCTCTGTGTATTTTATAACTATCCAAGTCTGGTCTGGTCTGGTTTGTTTAAGTTTGGTCTGGTCTGTTTAAGTCTGGTCTGGTCTGGTCTGATCTGGTCTGGTCTGGTCTGGGACTGAAAACAGTCCAAAAGAAAACATCCTTATTTTATTCTTTTTAATTGCACGCATCTCACACTTACAGTCCAATTTTGATGTTTGTTTCATTTCTTATTATTAGTAAATGATTGAAAAGTTTATATTTTGGAAATTTAAAAGGAAAGGAATTTTAAAAAATCAAAATTTAATTTATAATACATTAATAAATAAAGTTTAGTCAAAGTAAAGTATGTGAATATTGTATTCTCCCGTCTCGTTGAAAGGTTCTCACTTTTTTTATTTGAGTGTCCCATTTAAAGGTTGTTATTACATTTTAGGAAATAATTACTCTCTTCAATACACATTTACCCAACTTTGACTTTAATTTCCTATTCATTACATGTGAAGTCTCACAATTTTTCTTTCCCCAACTTATCTCCCTTTAATTACTTTAACTTTATATGTTTATTTTTTCTAAATTTTCCTTTTCCTCTCTTTTTTATTTAAGTTACTTTATTTAAATCACTTACCTAAAAAATCATGTCATTTATTCACGAGAACCTTTCAACGAGATGGGGAATATAATTCAAAAAATTTACAACTAAAAAGGAATTGAGTAAATATATAGCTAGATCATATTTTTAGAGAAATATACCTAGGACATTTATTTACCATCCGTTTGGTAAATCGGCCAAATGAACCGAATTTAAGGAATTGATAAAATAGAAATTACTCTAAATATGAGTAAAACTAGGGTAAAAATAAAAAATAGGACTCCAAATATGACCAAATTACTCCTAGCATGAAACATACGGAGTAAGAAATTTCTCGTTCCATAACTGCCCCTCTTTGTCATCGGATGGATCCACACCTCAAAACACATCTCGATGGATTTCTTCTCTCTCTCGCACACCGCAAAACACAACGATTAATTTCTTCGCACTATCATCTCTTCTCTGCTTCTCACTTCTAACCAGATCAATCGATCGATTTCTTCTGCCGACCTCATCCCTAGCCGCCGCCGCCAATGATTCCACCACGCGCACACCGTCGTTTAGTCAGGTTTTTTCTCCTTCTTCTTCTTCTTCCTATTATTCTATTCTTTTGGCTTTAAAATTAATTTTTCTGATTTTTCTTCCATTCCTCTGTTTTTATTTGTTTTGACATTCGATTTGTTGATTTTTGGACTTCAATTTAGTATTTCCGTTTTCTAATTTCTGAATTTTTAATTAATTTCAATTTTCCAGATTTTTGGATGACGGAATAAAAAAAATCCAAGTTTATGGCAGAAAATGAGCATACTCGCAATTGTTGATGGCAGAAAAGTTTTTTTGTAGATTGGTTTTTGTGATGTTTTGTCACTAGCTTCATGTTTTTGATTTTTTTATTGTGTTAGTGTTTATTCAATTTTAAAAATCATTTTCCAATATTTAGTTGGTATTTCATATTTTTGACAAAAGTATGGCAGTTTGTGGTGTTCTTCCAGGATAAATCTGCCACTTTTTGGCATATCTGAAACCTCATATTAATGGCAGATTTGTAACAACTTTCAGGGCTAAATCTGCCAACTTAATGGAAGATCTATGGCACTGGAGTTGTGATGGCAGCGGTGCTCGGAGATGAAGTGGTAGCCCCAGATTTAACATTGGCGGCAACAAGGGAGTTGTGAAGACGGTGGCGGATGGAAACACCAGTTGGGCGGTGACGATGTTCCGGGAGGGATGCGGTGTTGGCGAGGAGCGATGGTAGCCAGCGCTAGCAGAGGGTGGCGGCGGCAGGTGGCGCCGGCGAGGGACGACGGCAGATGGCACCGGTGGAGAGTGGTTGCGGTGGATGGTGATGCCAATGTGAGAGACTGTATGTCCGATTTGCCTAAATAAAAATTGGTGGCAAAGGCAACTGAGATTAGGATTTCCTTGAATTATTTCTGCTTTAATGAAATGCAGTTATGTTCCTTATTTAAAATAAGGGTATTGTGGTCCACTCAAACTCAAATGACTCCTACTAAACATCATATACGAAATCAGTCCTATTTTAGCATTTGGTGAATCTTTTAGTCCTATATGATAATTAACTCATTGATAAAATTCTACTTGATGCCACAGATCAAGAGCCCGTTTGGTAGCACCAAAATTGGCTGTTTTGGCTGATTCTGCTGAAATTTATGATATTCTGGCTGGAGTGACTGTTTTGGCTGATTCTGCTGATTTAAGAAAAAAATATTTTAAAAATATATTTTATTAATAAATTAGAGAAAAAATTATATGTAAAAATAGCTAAAATGGTCCTCTACAGTAACTTCAGCCAATACAGCCAGAAAAGTAACTCCAACCTTACTTTTTCGGCTTATTACACAATTCAGCGCGCGAAAGTAAAAGTTACGTGTTTGGTGAAAAAGCTGGCTGATAAGCCTGATAAGCCGAAAACAGAGTTCACCAAACGGGCTCCAAATAGATTAGATATGTTAAATTATCATAGATAAGTTTCATCTTAAAATCTTACGAGTTATCCGCATGAGTAGCTTAGCTGAAGAGTGGCCAAATGACGTAGAAATGTGACAATTTTGATGACTCTTTATAGACATTAACCTATAAACCACTCCACAGAAACCCTATATGAAATCATATCACAATTTATTTACTCCGCTCTCCTGTAGGTCTCCTCTCCCTTATGTTCAAAATCTGCAGTTTAATTTGTGGGAGTGATGGAGAAGGAATATTCTACCACAAACTCCAAAAAAGGAAATGCGGAATTAATGTGAGCTGGGAAATGTACAAAAATTAAATATACTTGAGAGTATCTTCCCGTACGTAACTTCCACGTCCATTATCTCACATGCTCGCTCCAAATCACCATCCCAGACACATGCTCAGGTGCCATCACAGAGCCCGGCAATATATACGTACAAATACTGCAGCCCCTGTATACGTACGTATAGTACGTTACGTCCTTTTCTTTGGACCCATTCGCAGCGTATACAGAGTCGGTTCGCCCATTTTTGGCATTTTCCGACCTCCATCTACGTATATATTCCTTTTTACGCATTTATACGTCCGTATAATGTACGATCTGATCTGCTCCGGCCCTATAAGTACTGACCAGCCGCCATGGATCTGATCTGAAAACTATTCCTCACTCACTCCAAACTCAAACATTTCATCCTCATCCTTTTGCGATAGATCCTCTGTTTCTGTTTTACTTCAGGGGATGATGACACATGACTATTGGAATGACGCCGCCGCCCATTCTTCAACCTCCGCCGTCTCTGTGGCGGCTGAAGACCCGCTCCCGCCCACCGCCGCGGCTTCATTTCAGGGTGTCTTCCCTTCTCAGTGTTTGCCGGTTGCTTCCGTCGACGGCGCTGGAAATCATGCGCTATTGCTGAAGCCGTTTTTCGTTGATCGCGGCGATGCCGCCAGAGTAACTCCGCCGCGTCCACCCCACCGCCGCCGTCCGTCGTCGTCGCCGTCTCCGGCTCCGGTTTCCAGAGTTTTCCCGTGCCTCTACTGCTCGCGCAAGTTCTGCACTTCCCAGGCGCTCGGCGGCCACCAGAACGCCCACAAGCGCGAGAGAGCCGCCGCCCGTCAGAAATTGTACGGCAGCGGAGGCGGAGGCGGAAGTGTTTATGGGCCCGAGAATCACCGCCGTCCACCCGTTCATCATGATCAGTACCACGACAACTCCAACAACCGCTACTACTGGCTCCAAGCGCCTCCGCTCGTCCAGCTTCCCGACGGCGGCGCCGGCGGAGGCTTTCGCTCAATGGGCGGCGACCGCCACGTCTACTTTCCGTGCCCACCCACCATGGCTTGCTGTGACGACGTCCTTGAAGACGAGGATAGTCCAAGTACGGGATCTGGGTCGCCAATGCCGCCGCCATTATTGTCATTGGAGACGCTCTCCGGCATCCATGACATCGCCGGCAGCTTCGCTCCGTCGCTTCCCCATTATCTGGATCTGGATGAAAACAACATTGATCTCTCTCTTCATCTCTAGTTAATTAGCTTATTAGACGATAATACGGAATATAAAACATTAATGCATCTCCTAATTATCTTTCGGGAAGATTAGTACTTCGTATTTAAGTACTCCGTATATCTATTTGCGGATGGATCGGAGTTTTAACTAATGGACATTTAGCCACCATTGACATTAATTACGACATATTCGAGTATATACGGGTATCTTTTATATGGTCAATTTAAAAATAGGATCTATATATCTTAGCTTTAATTTATTTGTTCTGGCTGCCGTTGATTTAAATTAGTCAATCATTATCAAAGGATGGGATATGTGATTCTTTACTTGATTACAAAAATTTCCGTTATCTGTGCATTACATTATACTTCGTACTTCGTATACGATGTATACATGTCGTCGTCGTCATCATCATTATTATTTAAATGTTATCAAGAAAAACGAAAAAAGATTAGCTATGTAATAGGAGTATTTAATAATTAATCTAGGATGATGCCACACATAAAGTTACTTTGAATTAATTACGGAGCAGTAAATAGTAACAAGATTACTTATCTTATGAACGATCTATGTTATAGACTGCACATTAGATGTTCTTTCACTTTTTTTTATCATCAAAACAGTCTATTCATATAGAGTGCATTACATCAAGCAAAGGGAAAATAAAACTGACACCAACTGAAACTCCAACAACTACGACTGTAACCCTATGGCGAGACTTTGAGACGGTCACCCCTGAAAGAGCAACACGAATCGCTAACCATGTAGTGAGCTTGACACAGCCAAACATGTTCTCATAGATCCAACCATAACCAATCACATAAAGAGAGACTAAAAACTTAAACAAATTGTCAAAACCAACAACAAAGATGAACACAAGAAAACAAATGACAAACAGATAAAAATTACTAGGAAAACTTTCACGGACTCTAGCACCTCGTACAACCCATGGTGGTGGTTCAGGCGGAGGTCGGACCGTTGCTCGATTGATACCCTCTTTCAGTGGCGTACCCGTCGTATGACCCAAATCCATGTCATCGAATGGAGCGTTCAGCCTCTCCATTCTAACCATGTCCTGATTATCCCTACGTCTCTCTCTCGCTTCTTCCACCATCTTCTCACTGCCACAATTATCCATCCCGAGCTACGTCCAAATCACGGCAATCCGGCGCAGAGATGCGTCGATTATGTTCTTTCACTTCTTTGAATAGTTTACTCCATCCCACTCCGATTAAATATTAGAAAAATGTATTCTACATAAATAATAGGAAAAATTGATAGTAATAATCCCAACTATTGGCGGTCCGCTCATAATAATCCATACTATTGATTATTACAGAATAATCCCAACTTTAGGGGCCTTCCGCCAATAATAGTCCCTATGAATAAATTCTTGTAGTTTCTAAAGTGGATGAGATGAGATATAACAAGTAATCCCTAGAAATAATCTTAACTTTTAATTTTTACGCCTAATTTCTATTTAAAATTCACTTTTTATAGAGGTAATATATGACTATGGACCATTATTGGCGGATAGTCTATATAGTTGGGATTATACAAAAATAATCAATAGTTGAGATTATTTTCAGCGGACCAGCAATAGTTGAGATTATTATTTTCAATTTTTCGTAAATAATATTGGGCATTTACCCAATTGTGCAACGCGTGAGTAAATAGACGCATATGACATATTAGGGATGTTTGTCGGTTCTGTTTCGTCAGTTTCGGTTTTTTAATCGGTTGGTTTTGGTCGGTTTCGGTTTTTAGTCGGTCGGTTGTAGTGGCTTTTAGAAAAGATGAAACCGAAAATCGGTCAACAAAACTTGAGTCAATTTTGGTCAATTCATATCATTTTCAGTCGATTTTAGCCGTTTTTACAAGTTTTGTTGGTCTATTTTACTTTGATCGACCAGTTTTTAAGCCAAAAGTATGAACTGTAAACCGAATAACCGATGGATTAGTCATTTTCGATTGGTTCGGTTTTTTCGGTACGGTTTGACCGGATTCGGTTTTGGTCTGCCCGTTTCAGTTTTTTTATTTTTGGGGAAAATGTCAAATAGGTCCTCGAACTTTCATAAAAAAGTCAAATAAGTCCTTATATAGGAGGCTCTGTCCGGCCGTCGCAATTTGGGGCGTTTCCCGGTGCCACTTTTTGATGAAAATTTTTGAGCATCTTATTCATCAAGTCTAGTTTACTCATACCAAATTTCAGTTGAAACTTCAATCGGGAGCGCATTCAAATTAATTTTTGAATATAACTATGCAGCTAAATACGCATTTGCTTTTCATCGTAGATGGTAATTAAACTACACTCCTCTCTCCATTTCAATTTCGCAATTTCATATTTTCATTCCCATTTAATCTTGTTTCCATCAAAAGTGAAACTCTTTATTCAAACATTATTTATTTAACATCTTAAACTTCCGTCTTAAATCCAAAATCTCCTGCTTCTTTTGTGTTGGAACATATATATTTCTATGGCTAGTAAGCACTTTTCATCATATCTACTCCGATAAAATGTACCGGTATTTATTTATAATCATCATTGCAGAAAAGAGTTATACAAGAGTTGTATTCAATTAACAATTTAACATCATGATTAATCACCAATATAATTTACAACAACTAAAGTATTAAGTGTGTTAGGGTTCACGGACGGCCTAGCTAGTCTAGAGTTAGAATTGGCGATTGACGGCCGGCTTCTCATCGGTGACGCGCGATTCTGGACAGTTGGGTTCGGCGGACAACGGCATGACCATATCCTTGGCAGTGCACACTTCAATTTGAGGTAAGGTTCGAGTCAGACCTTACAGAGCTGGTTGAGTTTGCATGTATCCTATGGAAGCGTTGCGATTGATATCAATGAAGTTCAAACATTTCGGAGGTGGTTGTGTACCTGAGTCGGATAGGGCTGTGAAGCCTGATTTTCCGATGCTTCGTTTGGCTATGTTGGCTTTGTTGGTGACTGAGATGGAAGCTACACCAGTTATGTTTGATCTGGGTGGGACACCAGTGGCTTGGGGTTCGGTGAAAGCTAAGGGGCGAATTTGGGCTCCAATTATTGGTTGTTTGGGGGATCGACGCGGTTGTTTTGACCGACTCAGTGGGTGGCCGTCTGGGATTGATTGTTGGCCGTGAAGGGCAGAGATCTTCTTGGGATGGATAGACCATTCATGTGGTATGGAGAATTCCAGATTTATGTGATGGTGGAAGAAGACGGAATGAGGATGATTCGTCCCACTCATGAACAGTTACCAGAGAGGAATTGTGCAACCAGGGTTTGGAAGATGCTTGAAGCATGGATTCAGCTCCTACATCAGTAGAAGTTTATTTTCCTTTGCTCTAAATTTTGTTTTGTTTTTATTAAGTCAAACAATAAGGGCAGTAGGTTCATAGTTTGTTTTAGTTTAGTTGCTAGATATCTGTTTAGAGGCAATCAGGCTGACTCAGCCGCTAATAGCCTCGAAGCTCTAACATGTTTAGCAAATAGTCTAGCTCTTTTTGGTGTGGACTATTCTATGTCTGATCAAAGAGTGAGAGGGCCGGTGAGCTTATGGTTATTGTTGGTTAAAGGGAGGTTAGTGTTGGATGGTTATTATATTGTTTGTAAATCTTCTGATTGTAATGTCTATTAGATTCATACTGAGAGTTTGATTTGAAATAATACTAGTATCATTACTCGTGACGTGCACAGGATAAAATGATTTTGTTTTTTAGTTTTAATACTCTATATATAGTCTTGAATATGGACTATACGCATACTGATATATGTATATGAGTTAGTATATTATAACAAATGGAAAATCATGTATCTAGTCAATTATAACATCGGTTGGATATGTCTGGTTATTGAGAACGTCTTATTTTTGAACTAATTATCTAAATATATCACTGGCAAAAATGATTATGTAGGTATTGAATCTGTAGTATACTGTAAATGAGGAAAAATATACCCCGTAGTATTATGAACAACATATGAACTCTTGTGTAGTAACATGAATCATTGATATCGGGAACTACATTATTATAAAATTATGTGTGAATTTCAAATGAGAACATCATATTGTATGCCCTTATATTTTCCTTATAATGATAGCTTCAATTCTAGGTTTATTCTCGTTCATTAACTATTGTATGACCATTAACTCTTGAGGCCTTTGCAAAAGGGGAAGTTAAACTTTACCTTTCATGCGTCATAATGAGAATTATATATTATTTGATCTTGAAACTTTGTAAACTCGCTCTTCATAACACATTTTGATCATACAATGGTCACAAACGAACGAAGGATTCCTCAAATCTACAATTTGTGCTTACCCTTATAGTTCATACGCTTACAAAATATATATAATTTCTATATCATAATAACTTCAACGTCGAATGCATTTATTTATGTTCATAATGTAATCATCTTTAATTTTTTACGATAATGACATACAAAGTTGTCATTACATTTTGAGAAAAGTATTATAACAATTGTATGTTCAATTAGTCTTAGTATTCCAAAAGCTTAATGATTTTAGCACTTCTTGAGAACTATTGTTCTCATCTTCTTGAAATGTTTCAATCTTATTTAACTTTTTCTATGTTAATTTACAATGTTCAATCAAATTCTTTTTTGCCCCAATTAAAATGTGAAACTTGTATGGGTTTAATTCAATTTTTTTTGCCACTATTAACATGTTTATACTTTTATTATGCTTTATTTGGTAATAAATTATTTTTAAAAAATAATACGACCTCCGGTCTCAAATAAACTTCTAACTTTTCTTTTTGGGCAGATCCAAAAGTTTAAAATAAACTTCAAACTACTATCTTGGATACATTTTAATACAAAAATACCCTTATAATACTCTTAGGGAAAAGGTGCAAATAGGCTCATGTACTAACCAAAAAAGGTCAAATAAACCCTTATTTAGGAGACTCTGTCCGGCCGTCGTCATTTGGGGTGGTTCCCGGTGGAATTTTTTGATGAAATTTTTTGAGCATCTTATTCATCAAGTCTAGTTTAGGAATACCAAATTGCAGCTAAAACTTCAATCAGGAAGGCATTCAAATGAATTCTTGAAGATAACTGCGCTTCTAACTGCGCAGTTACTTTCAAGAATTCATTTGAATGTCTTCCCGATTGAAATTTTAGCTAAAATTTCGTATGAGTAAACTAGACTTATTGAATAAGATGCTCAAAAATTTCATCAAAAAATTCCAACGGG